CCGCAGCATGTGGTTCCAATTTGGGAGGTTGATGCACCCACCATGGAGAAATTTCTGCAAGAGTTGGCCAAGGATAAGCCGGTGAGATTCACTGCGCAGCAGCTCTGTGCCTTTACAAGCAATTGCTCAACCAGGTTGGGGTCTGGAGGATTTGGGGTTGTTTACAGAGGGCAGTTTCCCAACGGAGTGAAGATTGCAGTGAAGGTGCTTGAGAAAGGTTCCGCGAGAGAAGCAGGGGAGCAGTTCATGGCAGAGGTAGGCACAATTGGAAAAACATACCATATTAATTTGGTTAGACTTTATGGTTTTTGCTATGATCAACATATGAGTGCGCTTGTATATGAATTCATGGAAAATGGATCGCTTGATAAATACTTGTTTGGGGAGAAGGAGATGATTGAGTGGGAAAAATTACATGAAATAGCGGTAGGGACAGCCAAAGGGATTGCTTACTTGCATGAAGAATGTCAACAGAGAATCATTCACTATGATATAAAGCCTGGAAATGTGCTGCTTGATGAAAAGTTTTTCCCTAAAGTTGCTGACTTTGGGCTTGCAAAGCTCTGCAACAGGGATAATACTCACGTTTCAGTCACTGGATATAGGGGAACCCCTGGTTACTCTGCCCCAGAGTTCTTACTTAAGAATCATCCCATAACTTACAAATGTGATGTGTATAGTTTTGGAATGCTTTTGTTTGAGATAGTTGGGAGGAGGAAAAACACGGTTATTAGTTCCTCTGAAAGCCTTGATTGGTTTCCAAAGCATGTGTGGGAAAAGTACGAGAAGGGGGAATTGACTGAAATGACAGTAGATTGTGGGATTGAAGAGAAAGATAAGGAAAAAGCAGAGAGAATGTCCATGGTTGCATTTTGGTGTGTTCAAGACTCACCAGAGGCTAGGCCACCAATGAGTGTGGTCGTGAAGATGCTGGAAGGAGGAGTGGAGATCAAGCCACCTCCTAAACCTTTTCATTATCTATTCTCAATAGGGATGAATGCAGTCAAGCCAACTGCTGGTTCGAGTTTCTCCTCAAGTGAAGAATCCGATTCTTATTGGTGTAAAGAGACTACACCCATCATGACCAAAAGTATGAAATCCAAATAGCTAGTAGTTAAGAATACTAGTAAAATCTAGTTTTTAGAAAGTGTATGTCTTAGTATATTTATTTATTCATTTATTTTTTGGAGCAGTAAAGATGATTTATTAGTGTCCAGAGTAAAAGGGTTGATTTGTTGTTTTGATGTATTGTCTTATGAAGTTTCTCATTGGTTGTCTAGCTCACAAAATTCCAAATTTCATTTAATTTCTTGATACAATGATACAGAAGATAAAGCTACAACCTCCAAGATCTCATGTTATGATGGCCTAGGTTGTTGCCTATGTGTAATTCAGTATAATTCGATCATACCAGCAATCAAAGATAAAATCTTTTCTTCAACTTAATTTGTCCTTTCCAATTAGTCTACTTGTGGAAAGGCATTCCTTTATCTAGACGTGTAAGGAACAGTCCATATTACACATGCATGTTGTTTTTTTTAAGGAAATGTGCTTGATTTTAGGAATCACCTGGTCATTGTATATCAGTTGCAATTGTTTGTGTCCTTACTCGGACAAGTCGGCCGCAACATGCGGTTCAATTTCGGGAGGTTGTTGCACGTGCAGAACCTCTGTGCCTTTACCAGCAATTAATCTACCAGGTTGGGGTCTGGAGCATCTGGGG